ATATATATACATATGTATATAATGATGAGGGAACTTCATGCAACTAAAAGTTCCAAATGTCCGTAGAATGCTTCCGAAGGTGTGCTAGTTTATCTTGTCATCACCATCACCCTGTTCCTTGACTGTGTAGGAGCTAGAGGTGCATCCTCGCAGAAGGTTTAACGGTACTGGGAATGGCATTTTGAACCGCTTTCCCATGATTCCTTACAGAGTTACTCCCTGCAATGGCTTAGGGTAAGATCATCGTCCGTGGCAACCAGAGCTGAAGCTATTTGCTATAAAGAAGTAGGTAAAGGACAGTAAGTGTTGTGTCTCGCCAAAACTATTGTCGAACCTGGTCCCACGACGCGTATCCAAACGATCCCAGATAAAGAAAGTTACAAACGGTGCGAGTCTTTATTGGTGATGCCGGTCAAACGTGGATCGAGCAAGGGAGAAACGTATGTTCTTTATGGGGTCGATCACTACCTAGACATTTGTCCGAAACGGGATCACTGTACTCTCTCGGTCCGTTACCCTGACGCCCACGCATTCAGTACCATCGAGAAAACGAAAAATGTTCTCACAGTGCGGCTGACCCCAATCCATTTCAAATTCGAACTGCGAGAATTCTCAGAAAGGTTAGGCGTTCCCTGACACTTAGTAATTCCAGGAGTTTGCAAAATGATGACTAGACGAAATTATCCTGGAAGCACACTACTGGTTTCACGGTTTTCACCGCTCCTCAGGTACTCGTATTATTAATTCTGTCAAGTCAATACGGTCGCTGAGTGACACCGCTAGTCATCAAACACAAATTGTCCCAATCAAATTTATCTATTCGCAAGTATCACCCGGGATTGAAGTTCTATATGTATATACAAATGCTTGAATCTTGCTAATTACATTTGATGCCACCCCTGCTGTGCATCGTCAAAGTTAACGGGCGATGGATCGACCGCGAAAGATCAAATAAATAACCTCGGAGATCTTAAAAAATCCAAATAGAAGAAGCTATCCTACCTTTGTGAAGTGTTTCACGGGGACAACGGAAATGGAAAATAGCGTTCATTGTGTCGCTGAAAAGGTTTACAGAAGATGAACAAAAGCTTGAACGAGAACAATGATCCATGCCTGTAGTTGAATCGCATAAACGTTTTCCATTCCGAATAGCTCGGATGGTGCATCGCTCCAATAACTGATTCTCTTGTGATGATTCTATGCCAACGCGAATCCGACAATCACATGCTCGATCGAGTTTATTCGTTGATCGGTCAGATTGCTACGCTGCAACAAGGGGCGTGGTGCTTGCTCACCCACCCCGAACGAGGACCCACAACTAGTCCACAGCCACGAGCCTTTAGCATGCCCAGTGAACTTCGACTGTGCACAACAGCCGTGTCATCATCGCACGGCTAGATTACAGGTGACAACAAGAGCATCACATATTACGAGCCGGCGATCAAACAGTCTCATGTCAGATTGAAGGATTCCAAGTTGCACAAATCACAGAAAATTATCCAATCGGATCGCGGAGAGGGCCAGAGGAAATTTAATTGTTTCAGGTCAAGGTTGAGAGGGACAAGGCTATGTGAAACGATAAAGCACTCACATTAGTGTGCCAATTTTAAATAACCATCACCTTATCGCATATTACACAGCTTCCCGTGAGCTACGTATGTGGCCAGATAGGTTGCCACGGCGAGCGATGTTTGCCAAGGCAGGTAGCGGTTGGAAAAAGATCAAGGGAGGTCAAACTAATTTCTGGCATGCGGGTACGAAAACCCTAACCAGGAGACTTGGTCACATAGATCCCGTTAGGCTGAGGACCCCGGGACCATGGTCACCGATGGTTAGAGACACTGAGCGATATGGCTGGGTGTCGCGAAAAGTGGCGCTCATGCATCTAGTCATTATTCTCTTAACATTAATATATATGAATTCTCTATCTTCTGTTTGAATTGGCTTCTAACAGTCTTCTTTCTTCGCTCTTGTCCAAATGGGCGACCAAAAGACAGCAACCATAACCGGTGCACGAAAGTGCATGGTTAATGGTTGTAAGAACTGAACAGAACTAAACACAATTTCCCTGCACCAGCAAGGACTGAGCGTTTCTGGGAAGAATGTTACTTAACTAGTCTGAAAACCCAAAACGACACGAATGGAATGCACGACTGTACCACTCCAACGTATCATATGCATTCAGAATTGTCGGAATACGGTCCAATCATGTAAGAAAGTTGACGATCTTCTCTTGCGCTGGTTGACTAGATTGTAATAATGCGCGCAGAAATAGTCAAACGGCAAACCAGTACGCAATGCAAAAACAACAACGACAGCCAGTTTCAATCGGTGTGAGATCCGAAAACGCCATATCACATGACTGACAATGAAGTTGGTAAGAAGCAAACAAACACGGCTTGCTTATGGCAAGTCGGGGAACCTAGGAAGATAGCCTGTGAATTGAGCGCAGTAACGTAATCACACGAGTGAATAGATTGGCTTCAAAAACAGGTAGTGTACTTACGGTGGCAAAACATCCATGAAATAGGCGCTTCTCGAAATGAATCCCCTCGCTCAGAGTCAAATTGAAGGCTACATTGTTCAAGGGTGTGGATATGTGGGACAAAAAAGATATCGAATGAAAAAATTACGAACGACCGCATACTAATTTCACGTGTCAGTTACATGCTCGGTCGATACTGCGACTATAAGACGACCGTTAGTTGGAAACAAAAGTTTAAGAATATCATCATTCAGCGTTGGCAAATTTGGAAACACATCTGACGATTCGATTTTGTCCTGATCCATAAAGTGTCAACAGTCATGGTGACGATTTTGCACGGCAAACAGCAACAGCAAGTGCTGTGCAGCCCAGTACCAGTTTCCCATTCACTGAAATAACCGCGGGAAAATCGCGTCGAGTTTGGTCGCACAAAGCTTATCAGATCGTTTGTCGATCTAGGTGAACCTTTCCAAGCTGTAAGCTGAACATACTACACAAAACATCTTTGTTAAAACTCCCGTATCTCTCTCACCTTTTCTCTCACACAAATACATTGAGAGCCCCCAAAGTCAAGAGAACCTGAGTTGTGCTTGAGAAAACAGGCAAGTTTAGCTGGAAAACCCAATAAAGGAAACCCCAAAAGAAACAAAATGCGGGAATACAGTCGGGTTGGTTGTCATTAACGGAAGCCGTTAGCCAATTAAAGCCTATTCCCGGCGAGAACCTAAGACGACTGCTAGGTTTTCGGGCTGTGAATTAGTTGAGACACCAAGTGGAAAAGCAAAGTTATCAGACATATGTGAAATATATATATATATATATATATATATATCAGAACTACGCGAGTCTCTGAGAACAATGCACATATAGCACTGTCAACAGGATGACAAACATCTGGTGCATAGAGAAAGAGAAATGAAAACTAGGACAAGATTTCGTCATTGGTACCGACATTCCAGCAATTTGGATTACAAAATCACCACCGAAATGAGAGATTTCTAACGCATTTGTACCTGCGGTGGCAGCCAAGTGTCCACTCTCAGAAGAGGCATCGATTTTCGAGGGTATCTGCACTACTTATTCACAGGCACTCGTTATTCACGAAAAGCGTTCAAACACACAACTAACCTAAACAGTAGAGAGTAACACATCATCTTCGTTTCGGGGACGAAACAAATAGTATGTAGCACACTTCCTCTCATTTGTCCGTTGTTCTAATCTACAAAGCGATCAGTCCAGCTTTTCTGTGTACTTGTCCAACGATTAACGACTGCCTTTTTTTCTTGCCAGGACCAATCTCTGCTTTGATCAGCAGGGTCGAAAATTCATTTGAATAAGTCACTAATTGGGCAATCAATGAACGTGGTTTGCTTAGTGTCAGATTCTGCGTAGACATTGATTCCGGAACAGAGAGATGTATGTTGGATTATAATGGAATTCCATCACTTCGGAGCATGCCCGTAAAAGTTCAACTAAAGAACGGTTCACCATCAAATGAACTCGTGATAGGTGTTTAGAGTGTTTGTCTTGAGTCAGAAGAATGAGGGCACGTGCGTTTGTAAAACTTTGAGCCACAACAATTTCTTTATTTCAATACTTAACCAATTACACCGAACTGGCAAATTGCAGCATCACAGCTTACCTGAATTTACCGCCTCTTTAGCCGTTAGAGTCGTCAAACCAGAGAACCCAGCAATCTTCTCACCCAATTCAAGTGCCTTGGGGACCACTTGATCCGGTGGGAACAGGCGACTGACCAATCCGGCTGCAGCCGCTTCCTGAGCACTGAACATATCCCCTGAAAGTTGAACGCGACACAGAAAAACAGCGCGTGACTCAGGTTGATTGGAATGGCAGTGGGGAAACCCACAGGTTATGGTCTCAATAGGTTTGTATCAGTCAGTTGGGGATAGATGAACTAGAACTTGATCAAATGAACAAAGCAGTGTGACTTCCGGTGGTTTTGTGAAACATGTTACCAAGGCCGACTAAGTGGTGTTTTGTGTGAATAAACCCAGGGACAGCCACATAGATCTTCTAAAACCACTAAACACACGCGGTCAAGATGTGACGCCTAATTTGCGCCCTATTAAGAATGGAAGTAGTGGGAATTTGTATTCACAAACACGCACACACGTGCGCACGTTGTGTGCAAAAAGCAATTTGTGAAGCCACTGTGCATTTCATGGTCCTCGACCATGTCATCACATCCGGACTATGTAGCAAACAGTATACGGGAGACAACAACTTATTTCAATTGTGCCTCTTCTTGAATGCAATTACGAACCTATTTCACCCTAGCTGTATGAGAGCTCAGCAAAAAGTTTCCGGATACGCAGTACACGTACGAGGTGCTGATGACCGGACAAGGAGAACATGCACTGTAATCTATTGTGGTTCTTGTTCAGTGACTGCAACTCACACAATCAAATATGAACAACCCAGAACAGCTCACAAGTGATAAGGGTCGCTATACTCGGAATGTATGCACGGAACTCAGTCGATGTCACTGGAGGGCGATGATTTTCTACGACTACAAATGTGATTTAAAGCAGCTGTAGTGTTGATCGTTTGCGAGCTGCCTTTGGTGATGACGTGCTTTCAAGAGGTACTGTGATTAAGTGGTTTGCGGAATTCAAGCGTGGCAGGTGGTCCCTGGACAACATTACTGCTGTGCAAGCGATCGTGGGGGAGGATGCTCAGGTGACAGTGGCATAGCTGGAGAAAACCGTGAGGGATTTCATCGGAATCAATCCGCACCATCCAACATGAGAAGCTCAGCCTCAGAAAGGTTTGCGCACACTGGGTACCCCATCAGCTCAGTGAGGAACACAGAGCAGTTCGGGTGAAGTGGCGCCGAATCATACTTGCCAGGTTTGATGGTGGACGTTCCAATACTGTTTGCGAGATCATCAGTGGTGATGAGACCTGAGTGAACAGTATTTACCGAGAGACCAAGCAACAATCGGCTCAGTGGACACCAGTTGGTGGGGCGCCTGTTCAGAAATTCCGACACAATCGCAGTATGGCAAAATAGATTGTGGTTACGCTCCTGGCCCAAACCGGTCATGTGGCTACTATACCGCTTGTATAGCACAGCACAGTCACCGCAGACTGGTACGCCGAAAGTGCTGAAAGCTGTTACCAGGCGTCATCCAAGGACTCGAGTAAGAGGGACCTTGCTGCACCATGGCAACGAACCTGTCACAGATCCCATGTCGTCGGCGATTTTCTGGCTAGAGAACGCACCACGAAGTTGGTCACCCACCATACGGTTCAGACCTGGCTACGTGAGACTTTTCGTGTTCCCAAATGTCAAGTGCATGATGCATGGAATCCGATGCGAGTCACCAACAGCTGTAGGGGAGGCCTTCATTCGGCTAGTCGAAGGGTTACCTCCTTCGGTCGAACTGTTTCGCCAACGGATTTGAGCGCATGGAACTGTGCATGAACGCTGGTGGAAAATACTTCCACAGAATGCAATGCTTATTTTTGTGTAAATAAACCGTTTTGTGCATCCGGAAACTTTTTCGCTGTAATGTATTAACCAATGGGGACCAATCACTGAAAACTTCTTCACTGCATTGGGTTTTATTCACAATTTTTGTTTTCAAAACCACTTAGTAGTCAATCCATTCGGTGAAAGAAATATAAATGTATTCACCCCTTGAAGTGTGCATGCCCGGTCATCTACATCGGTAGGACAGAGAGACAACTGCATAACCGAACACATACCTGTCTGAATTTAGAAAACAATGATCGGAAAATTTGAAAGTGACGTTAGCAGTGTCACGTAGGAAACTCACTTCATTCACGACACATTTATCATACACACTTATATGGTTCAAACAAAGTACAGCGTTACGCTAAGCGACGCGTCCATTATCCTATGCAACACAAATAGGACCAGGCTTTTCAGATACGCCGAGGCACTGGGCCGTCAAAATTTCCATCCCCAACGGTGTAAACAGTGTGGATGGTATTACTATATACACGGACGTGTTTGGTGAGTGACGTGAATCGTAATCCTTCTCGGTCTAGGACCCCTGGTATTTTTTGACTCTATACTGATGTTGTTTATCAAGCTCCAAACACACGCACACATCTACCCACGGGTGGAGCTTTCAGTTCATACCAAATCAGACGGTAAACGCATTGAAAAGACGTGATCGCGTGTTGGTTCAACGCGGGCCAGCCAGTGAGAGAGATAATGGACCAAACAATTCAGACGGAAACAGTTAAACAGTGAGCGACGTATGAATTGTGCTGTATTTCATATACCAGCGGACAGATTCCAGCTAGATCACCGACTAAACATCCGGCGAAGTAGCTCACAACCGACAATCAAACTACTACTACTACTACTACTCGAACGTACTAAGACAGCTGTGTGATTCGTGTTCAAAGTGGGAAAAGGAATAGTATATAGTATATAGTATTCAACAAGAAATGTTTAGTACAAGCGGCCGACGACCAGAATGGTCGCGATCGATCGATCTACATGCATTAGTTGGTTCAGTTGAGATGGTACAAAATGACGGGTCTGTGTTCGCAAAAGGAAGGAGTTTCGTGGAAGTGTGTTGTGACCACAAAGCAATGCATCAGTGAGAGCGATTCGATAGAGCTGGCGCGTAAAAAGGAAAGAAAGATGGAGAGAGGGAGATGTAAAGAAAGGAGAAAGTTGAGAGCAGAACAAGAACAACTGCCTTTTTCCTGCTGAACTGCATTACCGCAATCCGAAATTGGCTGGTTAGGTTGCCTACAATCCGTTAGACTTTGGCTGAATCTATAAGGGTACGACTTTTCTCACTAGTCTGGAAAGGACTTGAGCGAGAGACAAGTGATGTAGGAACATCTCGAAGCAGCAACGACAGATGAATCGATTCNCGATTCCATTGAGCTGTTTCACCAGCCACCTTGATAATTGTATTTTCGGAGAACAATTTAGAATACTCACAAATTCTGAGCTAAGCTACTAATCTGAAATCGATTTTCTTTTGAACCCCGTGAAAGTTCCGATTTCTCATTGACTGTAACATATTCCCAAATAAATGACACTAGTTTTTTAATATAGAATAGGATTTATGCTTTATATATTTACAGATACGGTGCAAAAAATTAGCTAACTGTTTGTAAATTCAGCATCAAATCTGTTCAGTTGCTTTATATTTTCCTTCATCACCCGACTCGACACCAGACACCATCTTACTATTTACCTTTTTGTAAATAATTCCTATCTAAGTGTGACATAGAGATAATGTGAGTCATATTGGAATGAGGGCGGAAAGATAGACTACCGGAACCGGTAATCTCCCCCCCCCC